ACTAAATCATATGGAAAAAAGAATTAGTGTATAATACAATATATTCATCTACCATCCCCAACTTGGTTCTGGACCTTTGTCCTTCAAAATCTCAATTAGCAGAAAGCCACCCTCCTTAACTCAATTGGATAAACCCAATCTAGCCTACCTACTTTTGTACAAATTTTTATTTCATTCCCACCCAAACTGTTTTTTAACCAACACAATTCTGAATTCTTCTCCATAAATACTGGGATATCACCCTTTTTGTCATTTCACAAGCTCTTATCTGGAAGTTCTTTTAACAGTGAATTTGCTTTTCCAGGTTCCTCTCTCTAAGTACTTCTTTTCGACTGACATTCTTCTCAGAGATGGATACTTTTGCTACATAAGTTTCTCATCCTATCAATTTCTTCTTTTTTTCCTATAATTTTTGTGGCGCATTATGATTATGTTGTAAATGCTGTGGTGATTTTAGCTTATACTTTGAAATTTCTCTCTCCTCATCGCGTGAAAATTTCTCTCTTTCCATGACAAAGTGAGTAATGATGAGTATAAGAACTTTGATCTTGTGAATGATATTCCATATATATAAATTTTAAGGAAAAACAAAGATCCATAGTTTCATATTTTACTACAAATTCTTAGTTTTTGTTTAGGTAGTTATCAATTTATAAAATTGTGGAGACCAATATTTATATAGAGGATTCTTGAAAATTATTATCTTATAAATTAGTTGAGTTTATTCATTTTTTATAATGGTTTGAGTTGGGACCGAAATTTAATTAATCCTTAACAAATTATTTAAATTTTCACATGTTGTATGTGTTATATGTAACTAATTTTATATGGAATAATCATATTTGGTTAATTAGTTAATAATTAATTGTTTACTATATTATGGAAGTAACATATGAGCCAAATCATTACCTATTTGGAAAAAAAATAAATAAATCATTCAGAAGATTATGTAAATAAACTTTACAATTTCATTTTAGGTATGACCAATATTTTATTGGATATTCTATTGTATTTTTTATATAAAAAAATCATAATTATCTTAATTATCTTTAGAATTTTTATTAAGATTTGGTGTAACTAAATATTTAGATTTTTTTATCCTAAGTCAAATCGTAAAATTGTTAATACTCACTATGTCCCATAATTATTGTCCATCTTGGGTTTCTCAATTTCGTGCCACTTCAGCATTTTTCATCATATTAATATATATATATATATATATATATATATTAATAGAGCTCACTAATTGGCGAAGGACTAATGAGCAATTTTTCATAATTAGTTTTTGGCTTGTATTTTGTTTTTTTGTTTTTTTTTTGGTTGGAGAGCTCCTTGACTATGTTACCCGGACTCTTCTATTTGGGGAGAATACCCATGTCATGTCGTGTCGACACTGGTGTGGGTATGAGTGTCGGGTGTGGCATTTTAGCCTAAAATATTCAAGATTTCTAAAATATTGACGAGTCGGACATTCAGATCCCCGCACCCGATACGACTCCGTATCCGAGTCCAGGTAACATAGCTGATACTCCCTTCCCTGATAGAATCCGATGTTTGCATGTCCACCACGGTAAAAAATTTAACCTCTTGGGAGACTTTGCTTTGAAGCTATGTTACCCGGACTCTTCTATTTGGAGAGAATACCCGCGTCGTGTCGTGTCAACACTGGTGTGGGTATGAGTGTCGGGTGTGGCATTTTAACTTAAAATGTCTAAGATTTCTAAACTATTGACGAGTCGGACACTCAGATCCACACACCCGATACAACACCCGTATCCGAGTCCAGGTAACATAACTTTTAAGATATCGTGTTTACATGATAGCAATGTTCTGTATCTGCCATTGGATGATATCCTAAGTGGTGGGGTTGGTGAAGTTGCAATATGATAAACTTGTGATTGAGGAACTGCACAAGCTGGTTGCTGTCTGGATCTACGACAAAGAGTTCATTGCATTATAACGGATCATAGTTTCTCCTCTCTCTAGTGGTGACATTTTCGCTCCATTTTCATCTGTGGAAGATCTAGATTTTCTACTTGTCACTTGCATTGGGGTGGGTGAAGAATTGCTGTTTGTCATCATATTAGCTTAGGAAATGCTTGTAGTAAAGCTGATTGGGTGCCTATGGCTCAAGTATCGCGTATGTTCTTTTAGTTAATACTCCATCCGTCCCATAATTATTGTCCAGTTTGGGTTTTCATTTTTAGTTCAAATTGTACTAAAAGTGAAATCTCAAATTGGACAATAATTTTGGGACAGAGGGAGTATTAGTTATTGTCTTATGGCCCAAACTTTCATATGTTATTTCGTGTTTATCCTGTTTTCTTGAGCTTAACTCTAAGAAAAGTTTACAGGAGAAATGTTCTATGTAGTAATGTGATGCTCCCATTCACAGGGTATATTTAGGAAGCCTCTACATCTTCATCCTCCAATACTCCCCAAAATTGTGCTTCCATTGGAGGGCAGAGCCAATGTTGCTTGCAAACCTGCCACCCATTCTCCATCTTTGCTCCGAATTACCCGACCCGCCCCGCCGTTGCAGCTGTTGTGTTTAACTGAACTGAGCCATTAGTGTGTGTTTAGCTTGATTGAATTCCGATCACATTGGGGAGGGAACAACACTCTGCTTCAATTAGGCCTTTCCAATCTAAAATTGCACTAATATATGCAATTTAAAGTGATGTGCCAAAGAAGAAAAAATATCAATTAAACTCGTCATGAATTAAGAGGTACTAATATTGATGAACAGTTATTTTACATTTATGCTGCATTAGATCTTGGAACGAATTAAATATAACTTTTTAGGAGGAGGAGTGAAAATAAAATGTATAGAAATACAAAATTTAAGATATTTTAAATTATTATTATGAATATACTTGGGCTCCGTTTGATAATTACTGAAGTTTGAATCTGAACACTTAACACTTAACACTGAAGTCTGAAGTCTGAAGACTGAATTTACATTGTTTGATAAAAATGTCTGAATTTGATGTCTGAAGACTGAATTCTGAAGTCTGAAGATTGAATCTGAATACTCAGGTCTAAAAGTTATTTAAAATTTTAATATCATTAAAATTGAATTATAGACAAAATTCTTTTAAATAAAAAATAATAATATTTTGTTCTAAATAATAGAATCATAATTTTAAAATAAGTTTTTGGTATATATAATAAAAGTAGATATTACACTTGGTAAATAATCAATATATAATTAAATTTAGGACCGTTTGATAAAACTTAATTTGGGTCTGAAGTCTGAAATCTGAAGACTGAATCATAAGTACTGAATTGATTAAGTTTGTCGTGTTTGATAAAATCAAAATCTAAACACTGAATAAAATGTCTGAAATCTAAAGTCTGAATACTGAAATTTAAAGTATCTCGACTTATAATTTTATCTAAAAAAATAATTGATGTATATGAAACTATGATAACAAAAATAATAATATTATTATTAAATAATGTAACAAAAATATTTAAATTTTATTATGTTATTCTTTTTTCAGTTAATAATAATGTCATATTTTATCATTGTAAAAAAAATCATATTTTATGGTAAAGATATATTGATCATGGAATTTAATAGATTTTAATTTTTATATAAAAATAAATATTTATTAAATAAAAAATAATTTACATAAATTTAATTTAGAACTAGACATCATGATTAATAAAAATATTTCAAGATAAAATATCAAAAGTATAAACATAAAAATAAATAAATAGAAAAAAAATCGTCTCAAGAATTCAGTTCAGACATAAGTGATAGGCCTATCACTTATTTTTAGGCTCGCATTTGTATTAGAATTTCAGACCCACTTAATTTATTAAGATATTCTACTTTGAGTTATCAAACACACTTAAAATTTAAGTCTTTAATAAATTAAGTTCTTAAGCAATTAAGTTGTTATGATAGTGTGTTATCAAACAGTGCTAATCAATTAAGTACTTAATTAATAAGTTTAAGTGCTTAATTGGTTTATCAAACATGGCCTTAGATTATTGCATATATAAGTTCAGTTTAATTTGAGTTTGAAAGTTTGAGATCTTTTATACTCATAATATAAATTCAACTTTAAGCACTCTTAATTAATTCATCTAAAGAAAATAAAAATTTTAAAACAATGTAAAAATAAGCGTCGAAATAAAGATGAAGGAAAAAAATAAAAAAAAGAAAAAAGAAAAAAAAAGAGTCATTACAGAAATTAAGTGATAAGTGATAAGTGGTAGGCCTATCACTTATTTTCTTGCTCACAATTGAACTGGCAATTCAGGCGCACTTAATTAATTCAGACAGTGAAGTTTTAGTTATTAAACGCACTTCATTTATAAGTACTTAATTAGTTCAGAACTTAATTTATTAAGACTTTTTAGTAGTAATTATCAAATACACTTAATTTCATTAAGTATTTAAATAAATTAAGTCACTATATTAAGTGATTATCAAACAGAGCCTTGGATAAAATGTTCAAGGGAGGGACTCCAAGACGTTAAACCCGAGCCTTCTCAAAAATGTTCCAGGATGTGACATAGCCAATGCGTTGTTAATCGAGAAAATTGATTATTATTATTATTATTCACTTTTAGAGCTTATATAATACAAGAAACTGATATTATACAGAAACTTTTAACTTATTATTATTATTATTCACTTGTTTTACACTTACTACGGATAAACAATCGTATCAGTAACAATTCATTTTTCTTTTTCTTTTTTTTTTTTTGAAAAAAATTTCTGTGGTTACTGTTCTAGAATTTTGTTAAGGAATAGATTATTCGAAACAAAGAAATTGTTTCAGCGACCTTGATTTATTTCATTTATCTTCTTTTTTTTCCATTTTTTTATACTATAAAAAAACAATCAGACTGAATAAAAATGATTTTTTTTCATTTTAAAATTCACCCTTTGGAGCAGAGTCCTGAAGTTTTTACATTTGTCCACAATGTAGTCTCCCCACGTATTTGTTCTGTTTTGCCTGATGCAATCATCTCTATAAATTGGCACATTCAATTCCATGCCGCTCCAACAACACAAACCATCTCTCATTTCTCCTTTTCCACCGAAAAGAAGAAGAAAAAGTAAAATTCCCATTCCTTATCGGCTGAAGCGGTGGCATTCATACTCACTGCAATCGGACGTCTGAAGCTGTTTCTCCGGCTGCAGCTGCATCTCAATTCCTTCCCCATCGAGTTCTTCCTCCCCATAAACAGCAGGTTTGGAGAATCAAACAAGTTGATTTTTTGGTCATTTGAGTTTTTTTTTTCTTTATTTATTTTGGAGCTGGGTTTGTTTGTTTTGATCCTCTGTTCACTCATTTGTGCTGGTGTGAACTCTGATATATGTGATCAATTGGGTCATCAAGTTCTTCTTCCGGGGTTGAATTTCTGTCTTTTATTGTTTATTTCAAGAACCCTTTTTGTGTGCTCCCTCAATTTCTCACTGGATGATCAGATCACCCTGTACTTTGATTGAGCAATGTTCATATGTTTGCACTTGTTTGTTTTTATTTATTTATTTTTATTTTTTCCTTTTCTTTTTGTCATGCATCTTCCTGATTCTGGTTCCCTTTTCTTTCTCCTGCCAAATTTCTTTGCCATTTGATTTTTATGGTTCACATGACATGAGTTGTGAATAGTTCAACTCTGGAAATCTTCAAAATGATTATATCTGAACTGAAATTTATAATTGTAGTTTCATCTACCTGGAAAGTTACTGCAGTCTATCTTGTCAATATTAGCTTCCATTCCACCTCATGCATGATTCGTGCCACGTGTAGTGCTCGTTCTGTTTCAATTCAGGATTATCCTTCTATTCGTGAACAAAACTGTGCCCCTGATGTTGTGATCTCCATTTGTGGTTTTTGGGATATAGTAGATAGATGGTTTAGCGCATTATTATTGAGAGCTGAACATTTTGTGCGTATTTGACTTTGTTCTTTCGAGTGTATTGATTTACCTTTACATCTGATTTACGCGCACTAGTACGAGTGCTGCGCTGCTTTTCATTTCTTTCACTAGAATTTGTGCAGGGAGCATATTATGAAGAATTGAACATTGTAGCCTACATGTTTGGGTTTTATGACACACATTTATGTTCCAATAATAGACTATTTTACACAGAATTCATCTCAGAAGAGTATTAGGCTGGTTCCTACAACTGAAATCATTATGTAGCTGCTCTGTGTATAATTAATACAGATATGGCTGATATTGTTCATGCCCGTTGTCCAGCTGAAGTTTTTCTCCCTTTTCCCATTAGTGCTAGTTTATTTGTTGCTTGGTTAGAAGAGCCCTCCTTTTCATTCTATGAACATCTGAACAGTTTCTTTTATCGTTATTTATATCTTGTTGTTATTCTATCTTCTTTTAGTTCCTTTGTTGCACTGCCTACATAGATCGTGTTTCTGCCTCAGTTTTCCATATTTTCTTCTGCTGGGTTGTGGAAAGTATCATTTTCACTACCAAAGCATTTCTGGCTTTTGTGATGCAGATTAGTTCATTCTTGTGAATATACAGATGGATAAATCAATGGCCAGTCCTAGTTTTGGGGTAAAATTGATGTTGATGCTCCCACTGGAGTTGTTGTTGGAAATCTTTATCAGGATTCCGGGTAAGCAATTGGGAAGGTGCAAGTGCGTATGCAAATCTTGGCGTTTAATGATTGGAAGTCCTCCATTTCTGGAGGCTTATCGAAGTCGTCAATCGAGCTTGATATTATACTGGCTAGAAGACAATAACCCAAAAGCCATCTTTGGCACGGATTTTAGGCTCAGGTTCTTTCACTACCCTCTTCCGCGATTTCAGGAGCCTACATCAGGATTCAGTCAACTAAGTGAATTGAGAACTGGTCGATTCAGGGACTGGTTGACAGAAGTGGTTAACGGCCTCATATGTGTTTGTGATTCAGATGTCCACTTAACTGTTTACAACGTTTGTACTGGGCAGGGAATGGGCCTCCCTGACCCTACGCATTATAATCTTAATCCAGTGTCATCTTTTCATCTGGGATACGATCCCTCGAGCAAGATGTACAAATTGCTGAGACTGGTACATCCCTTTAGTCGGACCTACTATCGTTCTTTTCAGCAAATCAACCAAACATTGGAAGCGGAGATATTGACCCTGGGACCCTCTGGTTCGCAATCCACATGGAGGAAGCTGGACACTATTGCATCTGGTATTGGTGATTTGATGGAGTGGCGTGGTTTTTTTGGTTGGTTTGAAAATTCATTTTCGGGGGATGGCATCATTTGGTTGTCAGGGCAAATGTCTTTGTTGTCCTTTGATCTCAACAAGGAGAAATTCCGATTGATCAAGTTCCCTGAAGACGTCAGCCAGGCAATAGAAATGAACAAGTTTGATTTCAGTGACTCGCGACTGAACGGATACATTCTCACTCAATCCATGGGACGTCCAGCTCTATGGATTAAGACTGGTCATCCCAAAAGTTTGATGCTCTTTGTGCTCGAAGACGAGGAGGCTAACGTATGGAGTAAGCATCATGTACAGTTTCCTGATGAACTCGGGGAAGTGGATCGTATTGCTGTTGAAGCGGGAAACCTTCCTACCGGTGAGCTTTTGTTGATGAATGGTAGAGTGGAAGATCAAGGTGACTGCAGGCCTGTCTTTTCTTATAACCATGGGACACATAAGTTTGATCGCTTTGTGATTGGAAAGCACCCTGAGAATCCTGATTATCGAGTGCTTTGGTCTAATGAGAAGCTTATCGACAACAATTTATATAGGGGTAAAATTTCATGTTTACATGATAATAATAACCTTCATCGATCCTTAGACAATGTGTTAAGCGGTAGGGTTTGAAGAGAGTTAAAACTTTGTCCTTTGTAATTTTTACGTTCCAACTGTTAGCATTTTCATTCACCTGTGGGATTTTAGCTGTGTATTGAAAATTTGAAATGACGATTTTCTTTTCCTTTTTTTTTTTTTTTTCCTTTTGTGGGTACAATGTATTGAAATTAATTTCTTTGGTCTTTTTCTTTTTTGGGAAATCCTTTTTGTGCAGTGCGTAATTATACCTGTCATATATAATTAATGTCTTTTTCTCCTTAATATTTTTTTTTTCTATAATGAAGGTGACAAAAGTCTAGAGATCTAAATTAATACATTATGTGGATAGAAAATATCGACAACGTCGTGTTACTCCTTAGTATTGATGTCTTTTTCTCCTTAATGTTTATTGTAAATTTCACAATTCATTCTTGAATCACGTTGCATTTAGTTGCCTCACTGTTGTCTTCCTGGTTTAGAACCAGCAAAATAATCATGATCTTGTTAAACGGAAGGAGTAACACGATTTAATATCACATGTTTCATCACCAAAGAGGATGAAGAACTGTACGACGTAAATTAAAGAAAAGATAACAAGAAAGAGTCAAATAAACAGATACGTTCTTCATTGCTAAGTCAAAACAAGGATTATTATTATTATTATTATTATTTTTTAATACTCCTTCCATTTTTTTTTTATATATCTTTCTAGAGAAATCATTAAAACCAAGACCACATTAATTAATATAGTTAAAATACAAAATATCCTTATTTATTGTCTATACAATTCATCACAAACCAATAGAAATCATTATAAATATAGTTTCATTTCCAATGTAAGGATAATATTAATAAAAAGTGGTCAAATATGCATCGATTTGTGAAAACGATATATATTTTAAAAAATTCACCAAATCCTAAAACGACATATATTTCAAAATGGAGGAAGTAATTTTCAAATCTTTATAACGACTTTTCTTTCATCATTACTACCCAATATTTTCCGGCATGTTTTATTTAGTACCGCTATCCCAAAATATATATTTTTTGTGCATTATTCATTCATTCATTGAGAGATGCAGTGGAAAAGCACGGGATGGTTTTCAATTTTCAGTTTTCACTCCGTCCATAGAAGATGCCCAACCTTATGGTTCGATCGACTAGTATAGGCTCGTTCATTCTTCTGATAGTTGCCTAAGTATAAGTTTGATCATTTTCTGATTGGGTTTTACAATTTTTTTTTACGTCCCAAATCACTATTCCATCAAACATGCATTCAAAAGACATGGTATTTTTGGTATTTGGTCGGTTTTTGTTTTTTTTTTCCTAATTAAGTATAAGTATAAGTATAAGTATAAGTTTTACAATTTTTTTTTTTACGTCCCAAATCACTATTCCATCAAACATGCATTCAAAAGACATGGTATTTTTGGTATTTGGTCGGTTTTTGTTTTTTTTTTTCCTAATTAAGTAATAAAACAAATAAAAAATAATAAAATGAAATAAAAATATTATTAAATTAAAAATCAAAAATAAATTTTTTTTTTTACTTTAACTCATTGGGCCAGTGTAACTTATTTCTTAATTTTTTTCTAGAGTAATTTACAAAATATAATAAAACAATTTAAAAATTTGATATTCAAAAAATTGACTCTATTAATCTTGTGGAACTCACTACAAACAGTAAAATCTTATATTTTATATTATTTTTTCCTTGAAAAAAAAAAACAAAAAAATTACGCAACTGCTGTTGGACGGAAAAGTTATTCACATGTGTCATGGGACAGAGTTTTGATGATTGACATATTATTCTCTGTAAATTTTCAATGCATGTATCATGACTCATGTTTGAACTTTGAATAAGATTGGGTGAGTTCACATTTTTTTGGTTGGCTTCCTTATATATATTAGTAGGTGTTTTTATAGGGGATGGATTTTTAAAGCCACCCCCTTTAGTACTCAAAGCCATCTAAAAAATATTTGGACGATTTTGCCCCTATAATTTATTACTTTAGAGAGAGAAACAAAATAAATAACTCATAAGAAAAAAAAAACCTTAAAAAAAAAGGACCGGACAAGAAAACCGTCCCGGTTGAACCGGGGACGCGCAACAAACACGTCCCGGTTCATGGCCGGACGCGCAACAAACCCGTCCCCGTTCACGGCTGGACGCGCGTGTTGAAATAACCGGACGCGTTTGTTGCGCGTCCCGCCATTGAACCCGGTCCAACCGAATGGGCCGGTTCGGTGAACAGTTTTTTTAAATTTTTTAATTTTTTAAATTTTAATTCATGCATGTTATGTTAATTTAATTAAGTAAGAATATTATTAATTTATTTGTTAATTTAATTAGTTATGTTAAGTAATTTAATTAGTTGAATTTTATTTATTTATTGCATGTTATGTTAATTTAATTAAGTAATAATATTATTATTTTTATTTGTTAATTTGATTAGTTATGTTAAGTAATTTAATTAGTCGAATTATATTTATTTATTTAGGTTTAATTAATTAGAAATAATATTTATTTCGGAGGGAATTAAATAATTAAAGAATTATGTGGAATAAGTATTTAATTAAGTATTGGAAATGTAATTAATTAAATATTTAATTAATCGCTAAATTTATGAATTCTAGCTATTTAGGTAGGTATTGGGAAATTTAATTTAGTAAATAATTTTGGATTAGTTGATTTTTGTATTTTTATAATTAATCTTTTTACTGTAAATGTATTTTTTTTATTATTTATTATAATTGTATATCTTTTTAAATGATTGGAATGTGTGTTTAATTTAATTAATCTAAAATACTGGGTATAAATTTAATTTATATGTGCACTTAATTGATGGAAAGTGGCACATTTTGGTGTATCCTGGTGAGTTTGGAATGCATAACCACGAATTGTTTGACGAAGATCATCCCACGAAGGGCCTTAGCGATAGAGTGAAACAGCTTATACATGGTATGTCCAAATATGGTGTAGACCAAAATACTCAATTATTTTACAAAATATTTATATTAATTTAATTAATCATAAATTATATTACAAAAAAATTAGATTAGCTTTACTAATCTACTATTAATTAAATTAAAAATATAACCTAAGTACTTTAATAACTACTTAAATTATGTAATTTAATCAATTAAACTAATTAGGTAGTGAACTAATCTACTATTAATTAAATTAGTCTTTTAAACTCAACTAATTTACAAACTAATCAAATTAAATTATTTACACAATTAAACTAAATAACCAACTAATAGAGAACCTCAATCTAAATCATAAACTATTAATTAATAAATAACTACATTATAACCCTAATTATATTAAATTAAACACTAATAACGAATTAAACTAATTTTTTTTTTTAAAGGAAAAGCATTGTGGCCGCCGAACGGCCATGGAAGGCGTCCGGCGGCGCGACCGGGACGCGCAAGAAACGCGTCCCGGTTCAACCCGGACGGCTTCCATGCCCGTCCGGCGGGTAGAAATTTTTTCTTTTTTTTTCTTATTTTGTGTGGCCGCCGAACGGCCATGGAAGGCGTCCGGCGGCGCGACCAGGACGCGCAAGAAACGCGTCCGGTTCAACCCACGCCTGCCCGGTTGAACCGGGACGCGCACGCTTGGGCGTCGGCCGCGCCACGACGCTTCCATGGCCGTCGCCACACAAAAAATAAGAAAAAAAAAGACAAAATTTCTACCCGCCGGACGGGCATGGAAGCCGTCCGGCGGCTCGACCGGGACGCGCAAGAAACGCGTCCGGTTCAACCCGGACGGGCGTTTGCTCGTTCCGGTTGAACCGGGACGCGTTTCTTGCGCGTCCCGGCCTCGCCGGGACGGCTTCCTTGCCGTTCCGCGCCAATTTTTTCTTTTTCTACAATTCACAAAATTTTTTAAAAAAACAAAACGTATTCGTGATGAGATCGGCTCTTTCACGCTTTGATTCTTCCATGTTACCATCAATTTTGGATCAAATTAGACTTCAAATTGGGGTTTAGAAGGAAGGTGACTTCAAGTTTTCTCTCTTTTTTTTTTTTGGTTGAAGTTTGAAATGTCAAGGGCAAAATGGTCCAATTTTTTTTTAGGTGGCTTTGAGTAGTAAAGATGGTGGCTTCAAAAACTAACACTTTTTATATTCCTTATAATACTAGTACTACCGCTACTAATTTGTACTATGAATTAAGCTTATAAAATTTCTTTTGACAGAAGTATAGTTGACTAATTATGGGCTTCAATCTCAAGTTTGACAAATGTACAATGGATTGACCCTTTTCGCTCTGTAAGTGTGTTAGAGGTGTTCTAAGCTTCTGGGTTCGTCGTTACAATTTTGGATAAGAATAAGAAAAAATAAAACTAGAGTCTATTTTTCTAAAAGATTATTTTTCAACCTATATAAAAAAAAAAGCTCAACTTGACCATGCAGAGTAGTAATTCACATGTTCAGAACTCCTAATATTAACATCCCAATTAGGAAACTTGATGGAATACTTCCCCTAAATTTCTCTTTCCGCCGCCCCTTTCATTCCTCATCGGATGGCTACACTAATTTGGTCGAGAAATTTGCTCACTATCGAGACCTGCAGTCCGGTAAAGCTGTTCACGCTCAGCTTATTGTCAAGGGGTTGGCTCGGAAACCTCATTTTGCCTCCAAGCTCATAGCTTTCTATACTGGGTGCAAACACCTTAGTTATGCCGAGAAGCTGTTCGACGGAATTCCCGTGAAAAATGTTCGCCGTTGGATCGCACTCATTGGCGCCTATGCTCGCAATGGATATTACCAAGAAGCTCTGGATGTTTTCTTCAAAATGCAGAAGGAAGGGCTAAAGCCAAGTGAATTTGTGCTTCCCAGTCTTCTCAAAGCTTGTGGTCACCTCTCTGATTTACGTACCGGGAAGATCCTTCATTGTTTAGCTGTGAAAAATGAGTTCGAATCGGATGTGTTTGTGGGAAGCTCGTTGATTGACATGTACTCAAAATGTGGGGAGATTAAGATGGCTAAGAGGGTGTTTGACGGTATGGTGAACAAAGATTTGGTTGCACTCAATGCAATGGTTTCCGGCTATGTCCAAAATGGTATGGTTAAGGATGGAATGAATCTGGTTCAAGAAATGAAGATATTAGGAATGAAGCTTGATTTGATCACCTGGAATACGATCATTGCAGGGTTTTCGCAAGAAAATGATGAATTAATGATCTCTCGAACATTCCAGTTGATGCGCGAGGATGGGGTGGAACCTGATATGGTGTCCTGGACATCTGTAATTTCTGGTTTTGTGCAGAATTTTCGCAATGAAGAGGCTTTTGATACCTTTAGGCAGATGTTGGGTTCTGGGATGCGTCCAAATACAGTCACAATTAGTGGTTTATTACCTGCATGCGCAAATGTAGCAGACTTGAGACGAGGAAAAGAGATACACGGATGTGCTGTCGTGACGGGAATGGACAAAGATACATTCGTTGGGAGTGCTCTCATAGACATGTATGCCAAATGCGGGTATATTACTGAGGCAAGGGCTCTGTTTAAGAGCACACCAGAAAGGAGCACGGCTACTTGGAATTCTATGATTTTCGGCTATGCGAATCATGGACATTGTGAAATAGCAATAGAACTTTTCGATAATATGCTACGTCAGGCAGATACAAAGCTCGATCACTTGACTTTTACCGCTGCTTTGACTGCTTGCAGTCATGCTGGGATGGTAACGCACGGAGAAAGCTTATTCCAGGTAATGCAAGAAAAGTATGGCATTGAACCAAGATTAGAGCATTATGCTTGCATAGTGGATCTTCTAGGAAGAGCAGGACAGGTCGACCGGGCCTATGATTTCATCCAGAGTATGCCGATGAAACCGGATCTGTTTGTTTGGGGAGCATTATTAGGGGCATGCAAGCAGCACAACAATGTGCATCTTGCTGAGATTGCAGCTGATCATTTGGTAAAGCTTGAGCCTGAGAGTCGAGGAAGCAGCTTGTTATTGTCCAATCTTTACTCTGGTTCAAGTCGGTGGGGAAAAGTTGTAAAGTTGAAGAAGGTTATGAAGAAAAGGAAATTGGAAAAATATCCTGGTTGTAGTTGGATAGATGTGGTATGATACGCACAAGCAAGCAAGTTGGCTCTCATGATCCAACCATAAATACTCAGTAAATTTTTAGCCCAAGGTGCCAACCTAGTTTTAGTAAACTACACAGGTACTCCACAGTTACAAAAAGAAATGAACAATGGTGTCCTGTTACAAAATCAGGACAGCATCATTGCAGCGCCCTATTTGATTCTGAATTTTCAAGAACCCCTGTATTATTCATCACTTGCTGTCTGATCAAATGCTATATATTAAATAAAATGTTGGCCACTTTTATCTTGTCAAGACACTATTGCCTAAGACCCTGAGAACTAGTAAATAGGCTCAGTAAGTCTTCGAAGTTCAACCACCTCTGTCCTGTGACATCTATAAAGAGAAGAAAGCTTCGAGAGCAACATCAATTTTGCACTTTCCTGGGTAACGTCAAGTTTTTGTACTGAGAAAGGATAGGTCGACAAATTGGTTTGCAGTTTGCACAATAAAAAAAAGAAATGCAAACTGCATCTTAAGCACACATATTAAACAAAATTACACATGAAATTACTCTAAATTCCAGCAAACATTGTCGATAGACTCTTATGTGGTCAAGCTGGACAATATGATTGTCAACCAGGACAATCTTCCTGGTATTGCAACTGAAAGAAAAGTTTACCATGTCAGGAAAACAAGTTGTGATGTCGTGCTTTTAAGTCAGAACTTGAAATATTTCAAAAACAAGCTTATCATGCATTGAGTCTACAAAGTTTTTCATGAAGCACAAGAAAATAGTTAAAAGAGAGGAAGTGTTGAATACTAACATGCCAGAGCTGCTGGCATGGATTTGCCTAGTTCTATTATTGATTCTTGATCCAGTTGCTGTAAAGGAAAATACAGCCGTCAATAACACAATTGAACCTCATTGATCAATTAATAACAGGCTAAGAATATACTAACAACTTGCTGCAGCCAGGCGATTTTCATCAAGATCAAAATCTCACTTTAAAGCATCAGATCAGATTTGGAACTTATGCTTTTACTGCTTGTCTGAACAAAAATGGTTGCAGAATGTGACCAGTCACATCTGCGAGTTTTCTCCATAGATCCCTTCAAATTTCACCGGCAGCAAAGGGTCCACGTTCAAGCTACAATGAGAATTTAAATTGAAATTAAACTTGATAAATTTTTCTTTACTCTATTGGATGAGGTACAATATGCAACATAATTAACATCTGTCACAGAATGAGATGCACGGTTAGGCTCAATCCCCTTTTCCACTACTAACATGTTAAGCAAAACAGAGTAGAATGACCCAGGGACATTATTGTCTCTACTTGGCACTATTGATGCCACAATCAAGTCACAGAAAACATGACTACTGCACTAGTTTTGACTTCTGACACTATAATAGACATCACTACGTGACGAGAGGCCTCGAAAATACGTGGAGTTCGAGCAACTTCTGACTACTGGCGGCCAGCCATCAACACCTTGCAATGCAGCCATTCAGTTTGCTCATGATCCCAAAGGTAACCAGAGAGTAGGACTATTAACTTTTGTGTTCTTGGCTTCGCCTCGCGCTTAGATCATGACGAGCAATGACATAAGATTTGAGAGCCGAATGAAAAGATATTGCAACTTTGATCAAAGTGGCATCATATATGCAGGACTTCTCAAATAAAAGGGAATCCAAAAGCTAATTACAGAAGTACATATCATCCTACGACATTACTGGACCAACATAGACCTAAAATTCCAAAGTACCAACGAAAAAGATGACACGAAACTGCACAGCACCAATGAACCCCAAAATTTGAACAATGAGAAAGCAAATAAAAAACACTGTTCCAAATACATACGAAACTGTACAATACGTGTTCAAGATTAACAGTGAACTGTAAACAAGAAAGAAGTACATGCAACAGCAGAATCATCCTTGTTGCAGGCTCAAGAAGCTCAGGATGAAATCGTGACATTATAGATAAAAGGCAGGCACAGGAGCTATGTTACCTGGACTCGGGTATGAATGTCGGGTGCGACATGAGATCTAAGTGTCAGACTCGTAAATTTTGTAAAATTAGGGCATGCGGGTATGGATTTAGACACGGGTACGGGAGTGGGGATCCTTCTTTTCAAGTATTGGTAATTGTGGTACATAGTATGTTGGCGTTGGAAGTTAGAAGGGTGATGATTATAATCATTCAAAATTTATAAATTTTAACTACTAATCAAAGAATTAGAAGAGTCAATTTCTAATAAATTGGAAGTATGAGGTCCCAAATTAAAAATTGTGGGCCCAAATCTTTCTTTTCTCAGCGGCGCCTCCTCCTCCAAACCTTCTTCCGCCGCTTCTCTGGTTTCTCCTCGACCGCCGGTTTTTTTATTTCTCTCTCCTTCAACCTCATCAATCCATCCATCACTTTACCTCTCTCCTCTCTCCCTTCTTCTGTTTCTCCAAAGCACAACAAGATTCTTCCCCAAAAAATTGAAAAAATTACTTCAAAATTCTGCCGCCTGAGAGTCAACGTGTCTTGACTGATCTAATCAGATCCCGTACAGATCTTGTACCCGTACCCGTGTCGTGTCGACAGGGGTATTCTCCCCCAAAGGGGCGAGTCCGGGTAACATAGCACAGGAGCAAGAGATGTCTCCTCAATATGACAGTGTGCCGCAAAATGTATACTACCCAAAAATTATAGTGGAAAAGCATTAGCTGGAGAATAAAGGATCAACAATCCGGCTTTCAATAACACTAGCTTTATCGATATTATTATTCCTACTTGTCTCAATTCTCAAAGAGGAAAGAAAATACAACTTTGTTATTTTATATACTGCAATGGCTATGAGAAATTGGTTCGGCAAAGGCTACAACTGAGGTACATTCCTAGTGATTACAGTAAAAAGGTATAAAGAGCAATGACAGTAATCAAAAACAGTAGATAGTACAGGATCATTTTTTTAATCAGAAATCAACTCGTACATAGTACATAGATGACATTGCGATGAGACCACGAAACTCAAATATATCCAAACACAACGTCAACTTTAAACTCAACTAGTTTACCAAAACAGGAAAGATTTAGGAATTCAGAAAATGTACTCCAACATAAGAAATTTAATCAGAGCTAACACAGTGATCAAAACAAACGAACAAAGATTAAATTTAAAAAAGATAAAAAAAAAAAAGTAATACAAGAAACAAGAATCTAACCTTTTCACACAGCTCCTCAGCAAAAGCCAAATAGTGAAACATTATTTATCATTTGGAGCAACGCGGTGATGATATGGGGCAATGGACCCAAACTTATTTCCAGACCAGTCCCTCTGTTGCATTGGGACCATGCTATACTGATGCTGATGGTGAGACTCGTACCCATGAAACCCGCCACCGGGCGGACCCGACATTCCGATCATTGGTACTGGCATCATCTGAGCTCCCGCCGGCGGCGGGTAAGACATCGGAATCGGCATCCCCATGTGCCCATTACTATTTACGTGCCCGTTTGAAGCCCCACTGCCAGTCGACTCATGCAAGCTCTGCGGCACCGGCGTCGATGCAAACAAATGATCGGAAGGGGATGGACCCTCCGTCGATAATCCCTGCATTCTTTTCAAATAAAGTCGATATTTTTGCAAATGGCTCGCAACATTCTCTCTCGTTAAGCCTTCTACATTCATCAACTGCATTATTGTTTTGGGGACAGCATTTTTTATCCCCAGGTGGGCCACAACGTCGACGAACCGTTTGTGCAATTGCGGGGTCCACACCAGCCTGGGCCGCTTCAACGTCCGGGCGGAGCCGTCGTCGCCGAAATTCTCTGAATTTTTAGGGGCAGCTGAGGAGTCAGCTTCTTCAGTGGCGCCGCCGTTGCTGTCCATTATCCTTCGGGTCTTCCTGGAATCGGATCCATCCCGGGTCAGATCGGCGTCATCGATATCAATCATCATTTCGTCCCGAACCCGGGCGGCAGAGGCGGTGGTGTCCTCGTTAAACGACTTGAAGCTCTTGAAATTATTGGACGACGACACCGCCTGCGAGTGGTGACCGTTCCCCATAGCTCCACCACCTCGGATGGAGGTTAAAGTTTTCCGGGACTCGCGATTGACGTCGACCATGCTCCGGGAAGGCTCCGGCGATATCCGGAAAGCCGAAGCTAGATCCGGCGGGATCAAATTCTGGGATAGAGGGGTCAAATCATCGATTCCCGGTAACCCAAGTTCCCAATCGAACACTCTGCCGTCGTCACCACTGCCGGCGCCGCTCCCGGAGCCGTTTTCATAATCGCTCATCCTGACTTCTTCACCCATACCTAAATCCAACAAAATCCAGAAACCCCAAAAAAGAAACAAAATTTAAATAAAGAAATTCATGATTATCCCAACCAATTACCAGCAGTTTATTTTTCTGATTTTTTGTGGGATGGTCGGATAATTTGGAGATGAAAATTGGAAAGATAGATATTTGGGAGGTGGGGCAAGAGGCGGTGGGGGGAAAAAGGGAAATAAGGGAGATGATGAAGGACAAAATAGGGAAATGAGGGAAAAAGCGAAGATGAAAAGTGCAAAATCCAATTCCTAATGGGTGTGCCACGCTGGATGCCTTTGTCTAGATATTTCTGATCTTCTAAATATCTTTCTCTCTCGCTTTATTTGCTAGTTGACTCCTATTTCCGTATTTCCAATTATTTTTCCCAAAATCTTTCCCCTTTTAACATTTTGTTTTTCTCTCTATTTCTAGTTAGACCTCGATCGATAGGTATGATAGTTTCAACCCTTGGTTTTTGACTTTTTTCCCACTCGTAAAATCTAACAATTATCGATCATAATATCACAAAATGTAATTATATTTCTATGCTTACGAGAGAAGGAAACTATGGGTGGAATCCAAGCAAGAAGCTAATGTCATACTCATAACTAATTATCCCGTATTTTATTGCCCAAACCACTAAAATATTTTCAAAATGTTTAGGAAATTGAATGACTAGTTAAGTTGTTGTTTTTCATGGTAATAAACCAGGGTTCGATTCTCGCTTAGGAGTTATAAGGGAGTTTTACCATATTTAAGTGGGATTCATTGGAGTAAAAAAAAATCAAAATATTTATGACTCACGGATAAACATTAGAGTGTAGCACAGTCCTTGTATCACAACAATTGAACGATTTATAGTTTTACCTCTTTCATTGTAACTAAAGATAAATGAATAAAAAATATAATAAATACGTGTGAGGTATTAAAATAATACTAAACATATTATATTATTTATAATCTATTATTAAAAAAATTAAAAATTCAAAAATAATATTATTAAAAAAATTGAAAAATAAAAAAATTAAAATCTGTTTTTTTTTTCATGGATCCGAATCGAAACTTTATTTTTACCCAATTTTGTATCTACTACCACCGGACCATCTCCATCGCCACCGGACCACCGGTGGCCGCCGACCGACTGGCCGGATTCCGGCGAGTTTGCCGAAATTTGGGGCGGCAGCGGCGGCGGGGGTCCTAGAGTGACAGTGGCGATGGAGGTGGCCCGATTGTGGTGTGAAAATATTAAGAAAAAATTAATTTATAATACTAAATATATTGTATTAATTTATAATTTATTATTAAATAAGAAAAAAAATTAAAAATTCAAATATAATATTATTGAAAAAATCCAAAATCTGATTTATATTTTTTAACCCGTCGGCTCAATCAAAATTTTTTACCTTTGAATTATTATGTTTTTATCACGTGGGGTCCATATCTAATTTTTTTCTTCACCCTTATTCAGTTATTTTTTTTCGTGAGTTAAACGAAAAAAAAAATAGTGAATAAGGGTAAAAAAAAAAAATTAGATGCGGTCCCCACATGATAAAAATAGAAGGCTTATATAGACAATGGTTTATTTTAGTTTTTTTTATTTAGTTTTTGTTTTGAGTTTGAGATTTGATTTAAAATATAATTTATTATGTGGAGCCCACATCTAATTTTTTAATTTACCCTTATCCAGTATTTTTTTTCGTTATATCAAAATAATAACGAAAAAAAATACTGAATAAGGGTAAAGGAAAAAATTAGTTGTGGGCCCCACATGATAAAAAAAGAATAATTCAAGGATAAAAAATTTTGATTGGGCCGACAGGTTAAAAGAAATAGATTTTGGATTTTTTATTTTTAATAATATTATATTTGAATTTTGAATTTTTAAATTTTTTTCTTATTTAATAATAAATTATCAATTAATATAATATATTTATCATTATTTTAATACATTTTTTAGTTTTAACATATTTTGGAAAATCTAAGATTTATAAGTTACCGAAAATGCCTATGTTGAGTTGACCAAAAATTGGTCAACTCAAGAACCCACAAATGTAAAGGGTCGAAAAAATAAAAAGGACCAAATTAGTTGAACAGACAAATGTAATGGACCAAATGAGTGAGTTTTCAATGTAAAGAACCAAACTAAGTTTTCTGCCAAATGTAAAGGACCTTTTGAGCAGATTACTCTTTTAACAATTAGAAAAAACTACTCATATTAAAAAAAAAAAATCAATAAGGAAATATTGGAAATGGTCCAAAATCGAAATACAAAATAAATTTAAGTTCAAAACCATAAATGCATCCAACTATAGTAAAATGCGTAATTGGTTGCTCAGAAAGCGATGACGTGTATGAATCAAATTGCGAGAATGTTTGGTTAAACAGGCGATTCTTCTTCTCTGAAATTCAGAAATCAGAATCTATTAACTTTGCGGCAAGTGGACTTAATTAATTGTCAATTTCAAGCTATTTCACGACGTCATCCAAACTCCTGACGGAGGTGAACAGTGCCTCTGTACCGCCGGCGCCACAACTCACAAGACGACGGCCGGAGATTTGAATTTCACGTGGAGACGATGATATTAGGATAGGCCCATTAGGCTCTGCATTCATATTGGGCTTCGGGCAGATTTGGCCCACTTTGAGTTCAAGAACTTCATGTTACCTACTTAAATAAAACCTATTAAAAATTGCACCCCGTATGTATATCTATATCTACTATCTACTACTATACTATATAAATAAATAAATATACCATATAAAAGCAAGAGTCCCAAAAACAACAGAGTCTTTCGTCGTTGGAACAACATCAATAAAGCAGTGGTAGTTTTCTAATTTAATTGAAAAACATGCCTAAATATTACAACTTTTTCAAGCCCAGACAAAAACACGTGGTCCTTTTAAGTTTTAATCCCAGCTCCTTTTCATTCACTTTAGATTTTGGGTTTTACTTAATTTTTTGGGCCTAAATTATGGGGTCTCAAGGGAAAAAGAAAAAAGTTTGGCTAGGTGCTTAACATTTATCAATTTTATTTATAAATAATTAACTTTTGATGAAGATTGATATATAAAAAAAGGTACATGTCATTTTATTCTTATTAGGTATAATTTCATATGGAGTATAGTCTACTACTTACTATTATAAAAGGAAGAGGGGGACAACTATAGTATTTTTCGTCGTTGGTACACTCTAAGGGCATTTATATACTTTCAGAAAGATTGTCTAAATTTTTTAATCAAATGGACCATATTATTTGGTCATTTGTCATTAATGCAAGAGGGGGGAATTCTTATTATGGTCATTGCCCCCCTCAAGCCTTTTTTTTGTCTTTTTCTTTTTATTCAACTTCTAAATTATATAAAAAAACTAATATTACATGTGGCATCACAAAGGTTGGAACTTAGACGGATTGGGAGAGATGGATGATGATGGCCAAAATATTACCTTCAAAATGCAAACTGGAGTTCACTTGATTGTTTTTATATTTAATTTAAGTGTTTTACCAAAATATGTATTGTTTATCATTATCAATTCCAATTGCTACATATGGCCATTGAAGATATTACGGTAAATTATAATGTTAAAAAACTTTCGATATTAAGCACACAAATTGAGTTTTTTTTGGAAGTACAGATATTGTGTATTAATTTAAGCAGAATGACATAATTCATCAATTTGTGTATTTTCTTAATGTCTTACCATAAAATCCTTCTTACGTTTCTTCTTAATTTTTGACACTTTAAAGTTTAAATAACATGAATGTATCCACGATCTTCTACACTAATGCAAAAATATCTTAACCCTATATTACAATTAAATAATAATCTCTATATAACAGAAAAATAGTCTACTTTTGTACATTATAAAAATATTTTTTTAATAAAAAATTGGTCAATTCCATAAAAGTCTAACCATCAATTATCATACATTTTTAATTTTTCAACTTAAAATAGTAACTTACATCTATTTTTATTATAAAATAATGCAAAAGCGTTACAAAAATTCAATTACATTTTTCTTATGGAATGTCTATCTTACCTCTACTTTGAAAAATGAATAGATATAACCAAAATAAAAAAGGTGATTGAATGAGATGGTAAAAATTGACAATTACTTCAAGAGATTTGAATTTAAAGAATTTATTTGAATAACTCAATTTAAAATAAAATGAAGCCAAAATTATATTAAAACCTAGCATATATTATTATCAATCAGTTGAAGAGTTCGAATTTCTTTATGCAAAATCATTGCCCTAGTAAAATCTGTCCGATTATTTTCATGAATAATAAGCAATGAAGATCAGTCACTGTGGGATCTCAGGTTCCTTTCAAAATCATTGCGATCTCTGATTGGCAGCAAAAAATTTATAAAAATTGCATCTGACCCGAAATCAATCATCATCATCATCCACAAGGTTGGTATTTAAACAGTCCTTAAGGGTGGGATATGCATATTCTTCGGTTCACATTACTTCTAGCAGTTAATTTTATGTTGCGCGGAGGAATTCGATTCCCCCAAAAAAGCTAGAATCTACCAGCTGTTCCAAGCTTCAACCACCCCCTTTTACTCAGGAGAAATATGTTGTTTTCTATGGTTCTTGTAATGGGTTGATTTGTATCACTCATGAGGTCTACAAACAACCTGGAGAATTAGTTACTAAGATTGTGTACATGAAATCGGAAACCGGACATTGGTTAACTGTGGATAATGAAGGTGTATGGTAATCGGGATTCTTGGGTTAAAGTAACTTTAAACGTTGGTCCTCCAGTATGTGGTGGGCAAACTAGGTTTAATATAAAGATTCTGAACTTCGTAGGATATGCAAATGGAAGTGGAAGTGGAAGTAGTAGTAATGTGAGGAAACTACTTTTGAATGGTGGCGATTATTTCAAATGGTTTGACTGGGATGCTGATAAAAATCAGTGGGTTTCCGGTGACAATACCACTCAAGACGTTATTCACCCACCGAGGATGCTTATGTGTCGACAGTCTCGTTCGCCGTTGGCCGTCGCCTTGCAGAAAGAGGAAGAGTATGAATATAGATGACCATACAAATAATTCTCGAAGAAAGCAGAAGAAGAGAAAGTGAAAAGAATAAAGACCTACTGCTTTGATCGATTCAGACTTCATATTTTTATTTTCCTCAAACTAGTTAAAATTTGTGATAGGGTATATTATTATTAAAAACCAATGTCTTGTATCTACAATTTTCTAAAAATCTGATTTGTTGAGATCATATCTTGCGAGGTATGGAACTCAAATTTCACGAGTTTGTCCAATTGATGTGTTGATGATATTTAGAACTTTGTATTGTTTCACTGGAAAGATATAATGGAATACTACTTGTT